GTTTTCATCATGTCTTCTGACTGCTAGTTGGTGTTCATGGATGCTAGTCTTCTGTCTGTCCTACATAGTGGGTGTTACAGTCCTTACATTGTATGTTGTAGATGACTCCTGTTTTTTCTTCTTGGGCTACTGGGTCTTTTGGTTTATGTGATGTTTTGGAGGGCTTTAGTTGGTTTGTGTGCTACAGTGATGCCGTTGGTTGTAATAGCCTGTTGGTTGTTTCTGAGACATTTTTGATGTATGGCAGTGTTATCCTTTTCATAGCTTGTGTTGGCTGTGCTGTAGTGGGTTGAGTGGTCAAGCACTTTTTAATAAAGTTGCAGGGATATTAATTTTGTTGGAAGATATTCTATAGGCAATCTGTTTCCTTTTTCTGCTGTTCTGGGTTACTGCAGTGCGTTCATACTCGTCTGAATAATGTTCTTACACAGCTCCTCTTGTGGGAGGTTGGGTTGTTACTTTGGTAATGGAGCACTTGCTTAGTGGGGGTTGTTTTTCAGTTGACCTGTGTTTCTAATTTGCCGTCATTTCCTCTGCTGATGAGGATATCCAGGAAAGGTAGTGTGTTGTTGTTTTCTTCTTCCCTTGTGAATTTTATTGCTTTGAAGATATTGTTGATTGTTTCATGTGTCTTCTCTAATTATTCCTTTTTATTATGATGAAGGTGTTGTCTACATACTGGATCCATACTTTTGATTGTATGCATGGTTGTAACAGCCACTATGTAGGACAGGCAGGCAGAAGACTAGCAGAGCGCATCCATGAACACCAGCTAGCAGTCAGAAGGCATGATTAAAACTCCTTAATCTCACAACACAGGGACAGACTCAGACATAGTTTCAACTGGAAACTGTGAGCATCCTAGACCAAGCTAAATCCAAAAATGCTAGGGTATTCCTGGAAGCTTGGTATTTAGACAAGTTAGCCATCAATAGATACATAGAGATAAACCAAATTTACAAATCATTCAAAAGAGATAATAAGAAAGCTAAGAAGGAAACAAAAAGACCAGAACACATCCTCTCCAGCAACCTACATTGAGATAATGCAGGGATTAACACCAGACAGACAAACAATCAAGCAGAAAACAATACTCTAATCAAGGAACTAACAAGGAGAAAACTACACCCCCACCAACCCTGGCAGGGCAAGCTACTGTATATAAACAGGAAGCAAACCCCACACTCACTAGCTCTGATGATGTTACCTAGTCGGGTAATGAAACATCTGCAATCAAACAAGCAAATCTCCAAATTAAGGGATACATCAGGGCATTTATTCCCATGGGATTAGGGGACAGATTTAGGGTTAGGGTTATGGTATTTAAGGCTGAGCTACAGTTGAGAATAGATGTGAAACATGAAATTTGGTTACATGGGGTGGGGACAACAGAACTACACTGGAAGCCTTGCCTACTTTTCCTGCCACCCAGCTAATGGATTTAGTCAGCAGAAAACAGCTCTGCCTTTCCATGGCTAGTGGAAACAGAAGACCAGTCCCTTGCAGCATAGGGGTCAGCAGAAAGGCCTTGTTCTTTCCTCTCTCCCCTAACACCCCTGCTGAAGTGATAAATTGGGGGTAAATAGCTACCCCTAAAAGTATCTGCAGCTTCTAAGTTGTCCTTGGGAGCAGAAGACAATGGAAGGCTCAAAGTGGTAGAGCTGGTGAGCAGGAAAAAAAAGAAAAAGTATATATTTAGGAACACTACTCAAGAGTAGGACTAAGCCTGCCCACCACTTAGAAAGAGTAAGTTTGATTCTTTCCATTGCAGTTTCACTGATTTTTTTTTAATTTGTCTAACGGCATTTAACAGAAGGCATTCAGAAGCAAACTTACTTCTCTCTTTATACTGTAGCTCCCTGCAAATTTTATTTTTTGGTCCAGCTGCAGCAACACTGAAACACAGGAAACCAGCTTTGCATTCAAAAATGATAATTCAATTAGTATTTCTATGAGGCAGAGCTACCTCTGTAAATAAATTACAATAGAATCAAATAAAGAGTATTATTCCCAGTTTTGAAACAAATTGTATATTATCAACACTAACACAAAGGACATTCTCAGCATATTGGCAATGATGGTGCAGAAATTAAACTACTTGGCTAATCAATGTATTCATAAAGCCTTCTTCCCAGTGAATTAATTCTGTTGCCCCACTCCTACCCCTCCTTTACTTGCTCTTCAAGCAGCCTACCCTCTGTAGGTGAAGCCTGTGGAACTGATCTGCAATGCACTGTAACTTCCGTGCAATCTGAACTTCAGTACGCAATTCCTGCAGACTTTCCTGAGGTTCCTCCTGGAGATGTGGATTCAATCTGAAACCGATTGGTTGGACGTGTAAACGGTATCCAGCATTCCCTGCCAAATATCATAGAAAAGGGAGGCATTTATGTTGTAGCATGGTATATGATCTTTCTTCCATCAACAGCATGCCAATAGACAATTTTTTGTTGTGTCTTCAGGTTAGAATTGACTGTCTGGACTAGGCCCTGCAGTTTTCTTGGCAAAATTTTCAGAAGTGGTTTGCCCTTGCCTTCTTCCTAGGGCTGGGAGAGAGTGACTGGCCCAAGGTCACTCAGATGGCTTTGTGCCTAAGCTGGGACTAGAACACATAGGCTCCTGGTTTCGCCTGGTGCCTTAGTCACTACATCAAGCTGGCTCTTTTAAACAATATAATTGAACTCTATTTCAGAATAGTATACCCATGGCAACTAAGATGATTTTAATAGATATTTAATTTAGTTTTATTACTGCATTTATATCCCACCTTTCTTCTAGGACCTTAAACCAGTGTTCCCCTCATTTTATCTTCATAACAACTCTGTGAGGAAGGATGGACTGAGAGGAAGTGACTAGCTCAAAATTACCAGTAATCTTTATGTCAAGTCCCAGTTCAAAACCATAATCACACTGGGAGTTGAAGTCCACACGTCTTCAAGTCGCCAAAGTTGAGGAAACCTGATTTAGAGCGAGGCAAAAGGCTCTGAGATCACTATCTGAAGCAGCAGCAGCAGCAATTGCTGCTTTGCTCAAGAACAGCACAGTTCATTAAAAAAAGGACCAGGCCATATCTGTGGTTCATCGCCTTTTTTCACTGTAGACAAAGAAACAAGAAACATCTGATGATTCTTACCATAGAAGAGTCTCTGGGGCTCTTCAGTGACTCCACAAGGTAACATGATATCCTGGCTGGAAGAGGATGCATTGAGTGTCTGTGTTGCCTTGTCCTGTTGTTTGGCATGCCTGCTGCCTGGGCCACAACAATGTGTAAGTGGGAAGAGCTGGAATCTCCCCAGGAGGCAGTTGTAAGATTTGCTTTGGGTGAAAATGCCACGAAAGGCCATCTTACTGGACTGACCGACCAGTTCACAGTCATCAGAGTGGAACACATCATCATCTAACCCATCCAAATGGGAAAAATCATCTTCCAGGTAACCAGAGGGATCCATTTCACCTGCAAGTATATAATTAATAAAAGTAACAACAACATTATGTAGATAGATAAAATACTATTGAATAGCAGAGGCAAAAATATACAGACATTTTATTTGTGCTATCACACAAAGCTGTTTATGAATACTGTCTGGGGGGGAAAAAATTAATTGGTCAGCGAAAGAGGCCCTCTGACCAAGCTCTCCCTTCTTCTTTAAAACAAAATTCTGAAGTAAGTAGGAAACAAAATGTCATTTAAAGTTCAGACTGTTTACAGTCTGGTCAGCTATATGAAAAAAGTCAAAGGGGAAAAATAGCTTCCAGGAAGATTATTTTAGAATGCAAAGGCTATAACCACATTAATACTTTAACAAGCATTCTATTCTCAACAAGTAGTATTCTAAATTCTTTACACAATTTTGAGGATCTCCAAAGTACAGTATCTGAAAACATTAATCAAGTTTGTTTATGTAAATAATAGAGGTAATGGATCCTGAGACTTTGACATGCTCCCTTCAGGAAGAAAGATACTCCAATTTACTAGGTAATAGATCCAAGTAGGGCTAGTTCTTGCCATTTTGATGCAAGAATTCCCATGGGTCTCTCTTGGAAATAAAATATTTAAATATCTAAATCTGCCATTTTAAACTTGGGATGGGGAAAAATACTTCCCACGTCCATAGGCGAACCAAAATAAATATGTACACACATTCGCTTTTTAAAATTTCTTTAATGCAATTTGCAGTTTTAAAAAATGCATAGAAAAGTAACATTTGAGGGAAAGTGTGCAATACATCTCTCTGTGTGCATATATTATATATGAATGCCTCTCTGTGTGCATGTGTGTATATAAACACCCAGAGACACACACACTGTAATATCCAGAAGCACAGGGGACTTAGGTTGAAAAAAAAACGGGAGAAATTGATCATCCCTAGTTTTTCATCCCTAACTGATCTTGATAAAGGTGCTCACACCTAGCTGAAGTTCTCTCCCTCTTCTGGAAGCACCAGGTTTGGGACAAAAACTAATCCAACTTGTGAGCAATTGTTTTCCATCCCTCACTGTCTCCTCGTGGTCCTCAAAGCAATGGCTACCAAGGTCCTCCAACTGTTTCTCATCAACACCTCAATCTTCCTGCCACTCTCCTTCCATTACTCACCACTAATTCTGACTCCACAACACTCAGTTCCAGGGAGATGACAAAGGAGCACAGTATTTGGGTCTTAGAACTTCGCATTTTCTGCATGCAGACTCCAGCAGTGTTGTTTGTATGACGGGGTTAGAATGATTTGGAATCACTGATGAACGTTGCATGAAACCTCATGTGGTACTTTTTATTATTCTTATTCTTATTTAAATTTATATGCCACCTGACTCCCACTGACTCTTTTAGGGCAAAAGGCAATCTCCTCTCCTAACGGCAGTTAAACATCGCACACAGTTTCCATTCTTATTAGCTTCTTTTACAAATGCACACCAAAAAAACCCACTTTAAATTGTTATTAGAAAAGGAAAGTGCTTGTTCCTTTTTTGCCCACCAAAACGTTTTTGCCTGCTACTGTGTTTCACGCATCAGTCAATTACATCTGCTTATTTCAGCTATGTTATGTTTGTTTTCTCCACCAAATGGCTTAAGGTTAGGGTTATCGATAGATGGTTGACAGTTACCTCTATGAATTTATGTAGCCATGCTGTCATCACAAGGATATTGCTCCAATTGATGACATCTGCAGCAGGCAAAAACTTTTTGGACATGAGATGTTGACACTAATGGTGGGCAAAAAAGGAAAAAAAGCCAAAAGGAAAAAAAATATTTGAAAATAGTCAATCAGAGAGAAAGGAGAAAAAGGCTCAGATCTATTTCTGGCAGATGGAGAATAAAAATGAAGCATGGTTGGCAAGCGACACAGTAGGCTGAGCTGTGATACGCAAGCAGCCTACCTGGGACTCATCTGTCCTGTAGAAAGAATCAGTAAAGGACACAGCACAGAGTACAGAGTCAGAAGATGCCTCCAGAGGAAGGGGAAGAAGAGGAATCTATCTGCAGGGAGTCCTGCTCTGCGAGTTTCTCCAGTTACCTGGCTCCACCCTAGGACTCCACTTTAACTGAATTCAGGAACCCCAAGCATCAGCTAAGGGTCAGACAAGTGAGGAAATCAAGCTGCTTGGGACACGTCTTAATACCATATTGGATTACCTATTTATTCATATATATCACTATATAGATATAAGTGGTGTTTGTTAACCTACTGAAAAGATTTGTCTCGATACTTGCAGTTTGTATCATCGTTCTATAGGCTGCAACATTCTGTTGCCCTTGTTGGAGTATTCATTTTTTCCCCTGTAAAATATCTTTATACTGGCTTTGAGAATAAACTCTCCTCAGGATAGTTTGCAAGGTTAAATAAATGAAAGAAGCACAATTTGTCAAAATTAGAGCTACTTAATCTGGGCTGCCAAAATCCAGATGGCACTAGATGGTAGCAAAGAGATACAAAAAACTTCAGTTCTTTGCTGCTATTTAGTGATCACCCAGATTTTGGCAGCCCAGACTTGATAACAGCACTGAAACAGCAGTACTATTAAAATACTGAGTACTGTTTAAAATAACAGCAGCAACTCCAGATTATAAAATAAAGATGGGCCACTATTTCTTTAAAAGCAGACTGGGATATTCAGTTCTTTTAAGAGCTGTTTAAATACCTAGTTTACACACAATGCTATCCCATCACCTGGTTTGTTTGTGTTTGGCTTAATATGATGTGTGAATCTAGCTATTATTGCTAAGTGATGGTTGCCCTAGATCAGCTACGAGCAACTGGCACCCCAGTGAACCAAACTGTGACCAACCCTACAAAAAATCTTTGTATTTACCCCCTTCAAAATCTAATACCCTTCATAATTTGGAGCTTGGGTACACCTAACCATGCACACTCCACTGTAGATTATTCCATCAGATGGGGGCAACTGTACAAAAAGCTTTTGTTCTTGTGCCTGCCTGCCATAGGGCCCAGCCAAGAGGTACAATTGGTTCTTCAAGTCACATTTTTGTTGATTTTTTAAAATTTAATTTTATTGAAAGTTCTAAAAACAAGAATAAAAATTAATACAAACTAAAATAGTGTAAGAAGGAAAAAGGAAGAAATAAAAGAGAAAGCTAAAGTACAAAAAGAAAAGAAAAGAAGAAAGGTAGAAGAAAAATTGAAAAGAAAGAAAAAAGATATAAAGAAGTGGCTTCCAATCTTTATAGCAGTTATAAGTACAGTTGTAGATTTATCTCTTTAAAGTTACTTCATGACTTCTTTCTATAATCTATCCTATATAACTGTCAAGACCATAGATCATAATTCATTTTCTGTTTTACACAAAAAGTCCATAAGGCATTTCCAGTCAGCAATAAATGTAGATATTGTCTTTTCTCTAATCAAACAAGTCAATTTTGCCATCTCAGCAAGTTCTATCATCTTCACTAACCATTCTTCCGTTGTAGGTATTGCCAAATCTTTGAAGTCACATTTTTGTTGAATGTGAACAGTGCCAGTACCCAGACCCAAAATCCAACAGAGAAGGAAGCGGTTTACAATTTCTGTGTTGGTGTTTAATTTTCCATTAACTGGATTTTTGAAGCTCACCTTGTGCAATCTTCACTTGCTATTAAGACAAAAACCCTGGCCAGCAAACTGTTAAATCAGGCTCACTGAAGAACAACATGAATAAATTGACTTCAGAAACAGATTACTCAATGCTAGTACGAAATTATTTTTGCACAATTTGTTTAGGTATGTAACAAGTGTACAAAATATAAAGATAAGGTTTAAAACTTTACTGAATTAAAAAAACAAAGAATCTAGATAACAGAATATACTGATTATAGTGAAGAGTACAATTGTTCAGAGAATCTCTAACAAAATTTATAACTTAGAACGAATGCTATACTGGGATCCATGGCCACGTATTCACTGAAAGTACAATTTTCATGACATCCACGCATGGTACAGGAAATTTCCCTCCTATTGAGTTAAAAATGTCTTTAAAAATGGCCCTTAAATCAACAACCACGCTGCCCACAACAGAGCACGTAAAACTGTGTAGCTCCGTGTCCAATCACAGTAACCACTATATAAACATCCCTTGGCAAAGAGGATTAAATATACAGATCAAAAGATGGCATGGGATGGCATGGATTTCTCCATCTCACCCCACCCCAAGCCCTGGGCTAGAGCGGGAAGTGAAAAGAACATCCCAGAGGAAGCCAACAGCAAAGCCCTTCCAGATCATACCAAGAAAACTGCATAGAAGTACCCATGTAAGTCACTATAATTGAGCTTGGCTCTGACCTCACATTATGCATACTCAAGAGCTTACATAAAGGATGTCTGGCAAGCAGAAACAGGGTGGAAATGTGTCTTTCATAACAGGACATGCGGCACAAAAAAGAGGCGCTTCGCAAAAAGAGTGTCTCTTGAGTACATCTGGCAACAGAAGCACATTGTTAACATTTATACTTTCACTCTAGCAACTGAAAGTGCTGGGATAGGTAAGAAAAGGAAACTGCACTTCATGTTTGGGGAGAAGGCTTCCTTTTCCTAACCTTCTGCAAGCTGGCTTCTTCCTCTGGCCTCAAGCTGGAGCTCTGGGGAAGCAGGGCAGGGAGTTTGGTTGCCCTAATGTGCCAGGATGGCCTATAAGTGGAAGAGCCCAAGAAGCATCCATCAGCCAAAGACAGAAAGAACAAGAGGACGGAGGAAGCGAGAGGAAGGTTGGTGTGTTCCTGAGGCTTGACTACCTTGTGTACAGAGAAAGTGATATCTGGAGGCTTAGACTGTTTCCTGTAGAGTTTCCTGGAAACCCTTGGAAACTGTGTCCTTGTCTGCGCTAATCTGAGTCATGGCTTGGGGACATTACGGATTATTGTAGGCGTTGCATATATTCTGTGTACTAAGAAGGCATAGCATCATTGTAGTGCCAAATTAGTTGGCAGGGTTCAGCTGCTTTTGAGTGCAAGTAGCAAAAGAG